AGGGAAAGAGATAGTCCGAAGGTTAGATAACATGGGATAAGATAAGATAATGAAAGGAAAAGAGAAACCGTAACAAAGGCGTACATACTTGGAAATTGCAATTTGAGGACTAAAATTACAATTTCCCAGCCAATATCAAAATATTTTCAAAATATGTTCTAATGAGATTGTAGGGCTCAGAAAGCTGTACAACTTTGTTCCTTGGATCAAGGTAATCGGACAAGAATTGAATGAGGAGTTTCACAAGCAAGTCTCACCTATTTATTTGGGCCTATTTAGCAGGCAAATATCCAGTTCACATACTTCCACACTATTCTGGAGGGATTTGACCACATAAGATTGTTGATACAGTATATTAGATAGTATATACAGTACAATTCCACTGTATACACATTGAGCTGCTCATAAATGCACTGTATCAAGGAATGGTGTCACAGTGTGATTATCACATGGTTGTGATGCATGTCACACTTACTAGGGATTGCCCACCCCCACTTATTGTACAACCCTGAGTGATGTGGCATAATAAGGCCATAAGTATCTATTGTAGTTTAGGTATATAGAGACAACACCTCAGTAAGGAATCCTCAGATTATTCTCTTAGGATTTCCCTTACTAGGTGAGTAGAATAGTACACATATTTGAGCAATATACTTAGGATTTCCCTTACTAGTTAAGGCTCCAGGAGAATCTCTCTGAGTTCATTGCATCAGTCACAAGTTGCCAAGTCATGTTCATGATTTGCTCTGCCTTTGCAATCACTTAGGACAGGATTACTCTCATGTGGCCAAGCTGCCTGCACCCTTAATGCCCCCTTCCCTACATGGCTGATCTTGTGGTGCACATCACTTCCTTCAATAGTACTTGTGGCAATACTGCCCCTTACAGGAGCTTTGTAGAGGTGGAGGAGGGAGATGGCATCTTTGATGTGTCAGTGGGTGATGTATGGGGGGCCAGGGAGGGGGGGAAGATAGGAGTGGTTGGGATATTCAAATATATCCTCAATGATCCCAGCTTCTTGCAGGAGAATATTGTTGATGCGGGTTCCAAGAGGCTGGAAAGGAATCATGTTACTTCAAATTTTGGTGACCAAGCTGTGGTAAACTACACACTATTGTCACATGATCCCTCCTACAGCATGAGCTCCCCTAGGGAAATGGAGTATCTGATTATGTATGTTTTGTTCATTGCTATGTATAGCTATGGTTGAGTCCATTTCCACTGTTATTAGCCATCTTCCATCATTCTTTGAACGTGTTTGGCAATCATATAAACTCTCTGAGTTTTTTCTTTTCACAACTAAACTCACAATATTATAATGTATACCTCTTGTATTTTACCCTACCTACATGCATATATTTCCAGTCAGCTCTGTATTCCTATTAAACAAAAACTCTGAATATCTCCAAGGATTCCAAAAATAATATTTTGAACTCAAGGTGAATATATTCTGAACAATATAAATGCTTCAATGATAAGTATATACAATGTTTATTATAAAAAAGAGCTGAATATATCCAGCAATTAATAGAAGAATATATGCTAAATTTGCTGACCAATCTTATCAGCACCTGCCCGCAGTGTTTGGACTTATTTTTTTTTTAGTAAGTGCCGAAAAAATTTGTCCCAGGGAGGATTCGAACTTCCGGCTTCTCGGAGCCATTGTCGTCAAGCAACATCCACAACGAGATGATTTGACCACTAATCGACAAGGACTTAGAATGTACTTCATCAACTTGACCATTTATGAGGGATTCCAATTGTTAGTTGACAACTGTTGTTTTATCAACTTCTTAATATATGTATAGTTTGAATATTGAATCTAATTTATAAGAAGCCTAATAAAAATTATATAATGTCTCCATTACTAAAGTACATCAAACTCTCGGCACACCTGCGGTCACGTCAGGATACGTTACAGCAATCATCTACAAGAGGGGTTAGGAGGTTAATCGCGTTTTATTTGAGATTTTTTGGGATGGACACACCCCAAATAGTTCTGGGGCACGGATAGCCAGTACCTGAGGGTCCTCGGCGAGCCCAACAAATCTGGAGGTTCAATGCCATTGAGTTTATGTTCTTTTCTTCAACAAAATAGATGAAAATATACTGACATGGTCGATACGCCGGCTTCAATTGCGGACGATAGTGTGAGAGCTAGTGTTAAATCAGTACCAGATGTAATGATATATATCAAAGATGAAACGAACAGCACTGTAATCCAATTAAGAAGGCAAACAATAACACAGGTGCCGTGTATTGCCCATCAAAATTATAAGAAGGAGCGGTAACTATTGAAGAAGTAGTATTGATAACATAATTCACAAGTGAAGTGATTAAGACTCACATCGCAGATATAGATATGCAAACAACGAGGATAACAGTCCAATAGCGTAGGCGCCCCATGTCATTGCTAATTCCGTAGTTAGTGAAGCTCGTGCCATCAGCAATTTCGAAATTCACTCATTCCAACAAGGGAATCATTGATCAGGGCGTCAATACCTATATATGGTGAGCATTGGTAAGTTCTCATAGGGGTAACTATATATACCTCTATCTTTGAACAATCTCCAAGTATCTTTGGCCGCGGGGATATACGCCTTCCCATACAGAGCTAAAAGTCATTTCAGAAATACTGAAGGGAAACTGGAGTTCGCCAACCGACCTATTTCTATATAGGCATATCTAGGATTCCATCATTAACTGTTATGAAATAGATCCGCAGGGCAAAATAATATCCACACCTATTGAAATATTCCACCATACTTTCAATGATACCTACGAAGCAAGCTGCGCAGCAAGCTAAACAGGCTTCCACAGCTTTAGAAAAGTGAGTGTTTCATCTCAGTGACGACACTAGATTTACTCACGATGCCCTTCTGCATTGGCATTGTTTCTTGCAGCATTCAAAATCATCTTTAACAGCTCCAACAGAGTAACGATTAATGAACCAAAGGCAATAGAGCCAAGGGACAACGTCGATGCGCGGCTGAAAGCGGAAAGCGTTGGGTGCTTTGGCTAAAGTAAAAAAAAAAATATTAGGTTATGTATATCAAAGGGAAGGTGCCTTGCCATATCGCCCAGTTCACGGGGGCCAAAATAGTACCAAGAGCCATATGGACCCCCAGCGAGAGTAGCAAGAGCAACGTTGCCAACGACCTGCGATGTCCATAGAAAAGAAAAGGTCTCGTAAAATATCAACCCAGCTACTTTGCCCGAAGAACAGCCGGAAGAGGCACAACCTAGTATACCGAAACAGGTAAGATTATTTTTGGGGGTTATTGGTCTCACATACCTGGATTTCCTGGTGTCCATTTGGAATATCTAACTAGAATTAGTACGGCGAACCGTTTCAACAAAAATAAACAACTCACGTGGCGATGGCGGCAAATGTAAACCAGCTGCGTACATTTATCAGAAAGCGCAGCATGGAATAAGTGTAGTAACTTACACAGCCAAAGCTGCTTGAATCAGAAGGGCAGTAAACGCAACAACATATACACTCTTATGGTGTTTCGATACATCCATAATAACTTGTAGTAAGAGAGACGCTAGGGGAATGCGTGATTTGAAACCCCAGTAAGAAAGGACAGAGAGTATAGCGATAATAGTAAAAATGATTGCCCCGGCTTGAGGCACTGTCAGCATAGTCAAGGTAGCGGAAGTGCTCATGCACTCACAGTAATATTTTGTAATCCAATAGTAAACACATATTCCGCTACGTCGAGGGTGAACAGGCTGTATGTTTCAAGGAGAAAAACGTACATATTTAAAAGAATGGATAAAACGAGGGTAATATGCATAATGAGTCGCGTGAATGTTCGTGTGAGCATAAGATAGCCGACGGAAAGTAAGACTGCTGCTGCGGTAACGAGGAGGAGTAGATATACGGTGCTCCTAGGGGAATTTTTGCTGAGAAAAGGAAGCCAGGCAATGCACTATACACGAACTGATTGAGAGTGACAGGCGTCCCAGTCTGCCCGCCCGGTTTTCCTAGGCCACCGCCAAAGCCCCCATCAGAAACCCATGAAGAAATGGCGATACCTGACAGCGCAGCAAAACCTAGAAACTAAATTCATGATGAGTAAACGACCAACATGTCCTTGATGAGGACGAGATCGAACCTGGAGCACAAACAAGATTAGAAATATTGGGTCATTTATAGTCTTCTTAGGCTTAAACCGTCCGTTATCAAATGGTGTTTTGCTGTCGTACATCGGTTGTTCAAGTTGAGGAGCGTACCCTCCGTAGGCGCCTTGGCCATAGGCTGGCGTGGGGCCAGGATATGGTACTTCTTGGTACATAGTAGCTGTGGGCCTAGTGATGGTAGTTGGTTGAAAAAAATAATGTTTTTGTGTGGTGCAGAAGATGATGAACGTATTTTGAACCCGAATTGAAGTTTTGGCCTAGTAATATAAATGACAACTGCGTTTCTTGGCGTATCAGCGTGGAGTGCAAAGCGACAAAGAGCCTTTGATTTAGAACGCCGAGGAACTTGTGGGTGTGCAACAAGGACAAAAACGAGGCGATAATAGAGTGATTAGTACGATTTTCGATACCCTTTAAACCACATAGCAGGGTCCTGAAAGGTAGCATGGAACGCCATTACGTATATGTGAACCACCACCACATCCAGTTTTTGATGAAAGTTATATCTGTCGGCCCAGTATACAAATATGGTAAGTACTATGTAATGTAATTGTAGCCTTTGTGGATGAGAAGAAAATATGAACATAGACACATTACAACAAGGAAAAATGAGGACCAAATTATTATGCAGTTCTCCCGGGTCAAGACCGTGAACATCCCTAAAATCATGCCGACTGAGGTGAGATGTGTTTGAAGCGAACGACAACAACAGTAACGTTATCCGTGGTATGATGCGAAAGGGCATGCTTCAACAACTTCGTGCTTGCCTGTTGAGCATCTGGGATATCACGTACAAGGTCGATCGCGTTTTGGTCATTAGTGACATCCCAAAGCTGACCAAAAAGTGAGCCATTGGAAGTAGGGTCAGGACAAGACGTACCCCATCACAGGCCAATATTAAAAATTCGTCCTCGTCACATAGCTCAGTCTCCGTGGTGTATGGCGCACCAACAACAAATTCCTTCATCGAAGAGTCACCCAGGCTGCGGGTAACAGCCAGAACACCATTCACGCGCCCACTCATGACGAAGCCTCCGGCGTCAGTAATCCGCTTAGCCTCTTGTTTATCAGAACCTTTGTGATCGTAGGTCAATCGTACGGCTTTACCAGCCCGACAAAGGACACCTCTCGCATCGCCTGCATTGGCACTGTACAAAACACGTCTTGCATCGACCGGGGGTATCGTGATTATTGTCCCAACAGCTGTGTTCTTTTTTAGTGTCGAAGGTGAAGAGGATCGAGGTGTGGTAGATGCAGAAATTTTGCTTGAACTAGCGCCCCCTCCTAGGCTCTTGAGAGCTTTCCGGAGGCGGCTGCTACTACTGGATTTCTTCTTGGATTTGGAGTCATCGGCAAATCCGGCTCCAGAACTTTCTGCGCCGCTGCTATGAGCACTGTTGAACTCGTCACCATCGAGACTTCCAGAAACTGGAGATTCAGTAGTTGGAGATGATGGAGAGGCCAAAAATGGCTGATGTCCCTCAACATCTTCAATACGCAAAAAAGCCGTTACCGCAGTGCATCCTGAATGGATCTTACCCTCGGATTCTTCACACATCTTGGAGAGGCTCTCGTCTACCTTGTGAAAGGTTTGATTGAGAATATCAGGAATGGGAATGTTCGGTGAGGCATGTAAACATGAGAGGAGATACTGTGACATCGTGTAAATTGAAGTGTAATTCAAAATAGTGTGAAAACGAACTTCATGAAAATACGATCCGCACCATTCCGCGGCGTGTTTTCCAGCATGGCCGTCGAATACCGCGAAGAACCCTTGACCGCGAATAGAGTCAAAATCAACGACGAACGAATGAGCGTCTTCCATGGTTCTGCGAGTTCCTTTATCCTCTGATACGCCTACTTGGAATGCAGAATTTTTAGTGGAATGTCGATTCAAGATCTAGACGATAGTTGAAGATCAGACGGTGATGACATCGGGATTAAAACGTACACCATGGGTGTCTAGCTCGACGGTGGTTATAGATTTCGAACGGGCATTTGGAGAATCACTGAATCTCGGGGGCATGCGTGACAGAGCAGAGCTTTAAGATGAGGAGATGAGGAATATTGTAAGGGTGTGGTTATGATTGCTGTGGCGGTTCTTATGCAAACTTGGCCAGGCCAAAATGCAATATCCAAATTAATATTAGGCCCCCGAAATGCCCCAATAGCGACAACAAAACAAAACACTATGAGATCATATTTCAAAGAAATTAAAAAAACTACATGTACGTATACTACCATGGCCAGTGGTATGCCCTCTTTAAATCTGGGGGCAGTCTGTCGAGTCTCCGTTATCAATGGCCTGCGCGGGACATCCCACGGATGGTCCTCCCCCGACGCCGTTCAAGGAACGCTACCAAAGCCCATTAAACCCAGAACATCGCGGTCTTCGTATAAGAAAGACAACCTACATAGTAGCAAGGGTTTCTTTCTCCCACGTCGCTGGCGTAGCTGTGGCCACCCCGAAAGAATGAGTACCTTGACGGGCATCCCACGCATACAGTATTTACGCACGAACAAAAGATTGCAAACACGCCAACTTTCTGAACAACAAGGGGTAGTCC